TCACCCCCTCATACTCCTCTGCCAGAAAATCATAGGAATCAAAATGTCTATTTCAATATTTCCTGTGATCATGATGATCTAATCACTCACATTTTCTTTTGGGTTGCATTATAACTTTTATATGACACAATTATCCAAACAACTTAAATAAATCACATATATGAATAATTATAAAGCATCAAAGGCAAAATATCATTAAGATGTACCTTTTATGAACACGGTCAATCTGGATGGGCTGGATCGTATTCAGGCACTCAACACAGCACAAGTGTACTTCTTACTATTATGACTGTTCCATTCAGCAAGAGGCACTGCTCCTGGTGGTGACTCGGGGACTCAGCCTTCTGGAGGCTTCATCTCAACATATGTTTCTATAATCACTGAAGCAGGAAAAAGGAAACAAGGCAAACAGTGTAAAAGCTCTGCAGCCTCTTCCTGGAAGTGATCCTTGTCCCTTCCCTTCGCACTTCATTAGCAAAGCAAGTCACATGGTCTCATAACTTCAAAGGGAGCTGGGGAAATGTGAATCTTTCACATAGCCAAAAGAAAGAGCTAGAATTGCTGTGAAGCCCTACGTAGGTAACCAGGACTTCCCTCCCACTCCCCTATTAATTCGTGTACCCGTTCATGACTACAATTTTTTGCTAGAACGAGACAGAATTCAGCATCAATGCCATTCCTATTACTGTGCTTGTCTTTATAGACAGAAGTTATGAGAAACTTTGGTCACATAAGTAGACGGGAATGAAGGAGTTTTGTCTTAGCAGTGACACTCAGTTCTCTGATGTCCTCTGAGTTATCCGCTAAAATTCCGACAGTGATCTAACACAAACGTTAACTTACAATGATCTTCCAACGGACACCTTGATTGTGTCCCTCTTTATTTTTCTTGAAAGCAAAACTTAGAAAGCAAAGGATCTGTTGCCTATGGTAAGAGTCATCCCCACTCCCAAAACCCAAGTGAATATTTCAAAGAGCACCCCAGGGTTTTATAGGCCAGGGCAATGCCACATGTAAAGACCAGGTTGAGCAGAAGGATTTCCATTCTTTTGAGAAGTAGGGAACCTCACTTGTGCAACTATGAAAGGGCAGGGTTGAAAAGAGAACCCGCTCCCCCAGCACTGGTGGATGGAAGTTGAACATAAGGATGGAAATTGATTCCATCTTAAAACCACCCAAGCCTACGTCTGCCTTAGAATGCCTTTGTGTGACCCTGGGGTCCAAGTACCCCAGTGCTAAGTGTGCTGCGTTAAAATTCACTGCCCAAACCCGTGAGAGTGTAAATTTCCTCCCACTGTTTCAGGTACTATCGTATTGCATATTTGAAGTTCTTATTTTTTCTTTATTCATTCAACACATCTTGATCCAAAGGACTAGTAATTCAGTGGTATGTGGTTTAGGGGACCTAGATTCTTATGTGGCTTTTTTCTAACATGCTTTCTAACAAACCATGTAACCCTGAGAAGAACACTTCACCTTTTGGGGACTTAAATTTTTCAGCTCTAATTAAGGGCTAGATTAGGTATTTTCTAAGGTCCTTTTCTTGTTTTAACATTTAATCCTTTATTCTTCTACCCTTTGTCTTAGTCAGTTCAGACTGTCGCAACAAAATCAGTTGGGTGGCTTGAACAGATATTCATTTCTCACAGTTCTGCTGGCTGGGAAATCGAAGACCAAGGTGCTAGGAGATTCGGGTCCTGGTAAATGCTCTCTTCCTGGCTTGCAGACAGCCAGCTTCTCATTGTATCCTCCCATGGCAGAAAGTCAGCAAGCTCTGGTCTCTTCCTCTTCTTGTAAGGGTGCTAATACCATCACCAGGGTCCCACCTCATCTAAATCTAATCACCTCCCACAGGCCTCACCTCCAAATACCATTATATTGGAGGTTAGGGCTTCCACACATGAATTTGGGAGAGGGGGGAACATAAACATTCAGTCCATTACATTCCTTAACCATTTTTCATAACTGAAACAGGAAATCCTCCAGAAACTCACATCTATTTCAAAATTCAGTAATTTCACTCCTCTCCACTCCATCACCGGGCACCTGGTGAGGAATGCCTTAACAAGGACGGCAGAGCTGCTTACAATAAGCAGAGTCTGAAAGTCTTAAGTGTTCGAGAAGGACGTCCATAATTCACAGACCAGATACTTAGCCTCTTAAGAATCAAAACTTGTATGTTTTATTTTAAATCCCTCAGCACCAAAGCAGTGAGTTTTGCACCACACACTGCTGCTTTTGGGGTGTTGCTGTCACTTCTTTGAGTGCCCATCTTCTACTTTTTTGATGGATTCTATGTTGACATGCTGTTGATATTAACCAGTACCTCATGTTCATAGTCATTGTAATAAAAGTTCAGCCAACATGAGTAATACTTAATACATTTTTAAGAGAAAAAAATCTTCCACAATTCTTCCATAGAAAATACAATTATTTTTAATTTTTACGTTTTGTCATTTGTATCTTACCTAGCTGCAGAAATTTCATGTTGGTCCATTTCTACACGAATTACTGTTTATCGTGCGTATGCTCTGTTAGCTGATACGCCTTGTGTATTGTACCTGTAATCTAATTTTCCCTTGTGCAGACCTTTGAACCAGGCAGTAACCTCTCTTGGAGAGTGCTATAGGTTGATTTATGTCCCCCAAGAAATCACATGTTGCAGTCCTAACCTTCAGTATCTCAGAATGTGACCTTGTTGGGGGAAGGGGTCATTGCAGATGTAACTAGTTAAGATAAGGTCATACTGGAGAAGGGTGGGTCCTTAATCCAGTAGGGCTGGGGTCCCTATAATATGGCCATGTGAAGACAGGGACTTAGGGAAAATGCCATGTGAAGAGGGGGGATTATAGTGATGTCTCTGTGAGCCAAGGAATGCCAAGATCACCGGCAGGGCACCAGAAGCTAGGAGGAGACGAGGCAGGATTCCTCCTCCCCAGAACTGTGAGACAATACACTTTTGTTCTTTCGAGCCACCCAGTTTGTGGTACTTCGTTACGGCAACCCAGAGAACTAACACGGAGAGCTTCAGTGATTTACCCAATGGCAGTAACAAGCAGATGGCAAGTTAAGGTGTGGATAGAGGTCACAAACTCAAAAGTCCGAGTTTTTAATTAGCACCCCTCACTGTCTCTTTGAGAATAGTTTCTGCTTTACATTATACAAAAGAACATCCCCACTTTTACAAATCCTACATAATCACCAATTTTTACTCATGTCTGGCAATAGCTGTAAAACAATTTACCAAACTATCACTTTATGGATAGTGGCCCGGAGGGAGTCATACATATTTTATATAAATGTAAATTTTCTGGCACCTTTGAGAGTGTTTTGTGCACAGAGAGACTATTCAGAGATTTACTTTGGTTTTGAAAGTTAATATTTAATGTATTAAAATTGCAGATTATAAAATCTCATCTTTTCTTAAGCTTTTAAATTTAGTTGACTCTTATTATTCTAAGTATGTCAAATTGAAAAAAAGAATTTTCTTACAGAGGCCGATCAAGAAAAAAAGACCTCAGCCTTGGAATTTTGAAACTTTGCCATTTCTAAAAATTCTGTATCAGAAAAGAGGAAGAGGGCTCACAGCCAGGAGCTGGGGACTCCTATGCCTCAGTTCCTTAATCATCTGAATTGCACGATTTCTCCGACATCTGAGTACCCATGAGGACCTATGAGCTCTTCCAAGATTGGCCTGTGGTCAGCAGGGGAGGAGGATCAGAGCGGAAGACTCATGGCGTCACTCAATGGATGGGGGCGAAGTGGAACTTTGAGATGTAAGGTAGAAAATTTCAAAAAGGCTGTTTGAAAGGGGTGTTTGGTCAGTTGAATTGCGGGTCCCTGTTCATCATGATTCCTGGAAGGGCCTCAGGCCATTTAAAACAAGTTTACTTAAACGTTGCTTTGAGGTCTTAGTTTTTGCCCTTTCTACCTTGCCAGAGCTCACAGGGCGGTATGAGTTACACGGCTGACATTTGCATACATGTTGGAAAATGTGTCTTTTAGAGTGAGAACCTTGGGCTGAGTCTGCGTGAAGAGAAATTTCCTAGCAAGGAAATTCCCTGGTGAGACTATTTCTAGAGCAATTTTTGCTACAGTAATAGCATTGCCTTCTTGCAGGGGAAAGCCTCGGGCTATCCAGAGACTAGAAGTATCACAAGTGAGACATGGGAATAGGGCAGTGACCAAGGAAGGTTAGAAGAGTCAATTGCCAGGTGGGGGTGGGAGGGGGTGGGGGCAGGTATGATAACGTCACAGTTGGGTGCTATGCGGGGTGGGACGGGGTTCCCTGAATGACATCAGGCACAAACAGGGCAAAGCACATGATGAGGTGTTAGATTGGAAAAGCCAGGCACAAAGAAGCATTTTTGATCTGATCCCTTGTCCCCCCTGTGCCCAACCTTGCCGCTGAGTGTAATGCATTGTCCTGGGGAGGAAAGAGGACATGGGGTCGTGGAAAACCCAGCTAGGTGTAGCTCACATTTGTGAACAGGTGGAGGGAGAAGCCTGCTGAAGTGCAGGCAGCCTTTTCTATCACTGGCCCCTCTTACAACTGGCGGCATGGGCTGGATCAGGAACCGCAAAGGCGCCAAGGTGGTGGGAGGATGTTTTGTGGGGCAAGGGCCTTTAGCAGCTATGTGAACCCAAGCTTTTCCCTTCTAAGACGTCGATGACCTGATTTACCAAACAAAACCTTCCTAAGCACCAAGTAATTGTTACAAATCCAATAAATTAAAGTAAACCGAAAGTTCTCTTCCATGTTTCAATACTGAGAATGACATGGAAGATTTCACCTTAAAACCGTAAATTGACTTAAATCGACTACACAAACACACATTTAAATTGACTGCACAAACACACGTTTCAAACTGTAGTGAAAAGATAAATACCAAATATGCAGACCCCTTCTTAACATAAGTGTATTGCTGCTAGTGTTCTGATTCTCTTAAGCATTTCTACATGTAATTCTGAATCTCACCAGGTTGAAAAACACTTACCCATTTTAGGAAGATGGTTACTCTACAGTTAACGGACGTTCTCTACTGAGGGAGACTCACAGCTGAAGGCTGCCTAGATTCTCACTTGTGACCGTGATGGAACACGCTGGTTCTTGCTATTCCTTTATGATTCCATAACAACAAGAGAGGATGGTCACTTACCCCTGTCCCTGGATTTAAAATTTGCACATGACCTAGTTCTTCTGTCTTCTCCAGGAGGAGTACGGAGGAGGCCCCAGCTCCCATCTCACTGAAAAACTGAAGACATATCAGTGTTTTTTCATATAACCCTGAAGACCTTTAAATTTGATGGGTTTCTACTAAGTTTAAAGACCTCCAGTTCTCATGGAAACTTCCATTCTTTCATACGTAAAAAAGAGATGACAGCGAACATTATATGTAATTATATTTTTTATTTTATGTGAACTTCACTGACTGGAGGTTATAACTTACACAGCTGGTCAACTGAAGCTCTCTTTCGGTCAGATAACGCTTTTTAATTTTTAACTTTCTACTTTCTGTATCCTTCATTGATATAATAAATGAGCCAATAACAGCAGTCACAAGGTTCAATAAAAATGCATTCTTACAAATGAACTTATTTGCAAAAGAGAAACAGACTCACAGGCATGGAAAACAAACTTAGGGTTACCAAAAGGGAAAGGGGGACGGATAAATTGGGAGTATGGGATTAGCAGATGCACACTACCATATATAAAACAGATAAACAATAAGGTCCTACTATATAGCACAGGGAACTACATTCAATATCTTGTAATAAACTATAATGGAAAGGAATTGGAAAAAGTACATATATATGTGTATAGAGTCTTTTTCACTGTGCCTGGAACATATACTTTAATACATGGTAGCTGTAAGAATAGGTTACTGTTAGTATTCTTTTATATAAAAATGAACTCAGATGAACTAACAAGGAATGTGAACCTGTTTATAAACACAGACTTTTACATACATTTCACTCTTCCCCAGCCTTGGGCTCCGGCCACCTGCGCTCCCGAGAAGTGATGGCCATCCTTGGAGAAACTCTAGCATGAGACGTTCCCTCATGTCGAAATTCCACAGACTCTGTGAGAAGTAGAGAGGTTTGGTGTGTCTCTGGTCTTTTTCTGAGGTGAAATTTCATTGGAGGGAGAAGAGATTCTGGAAGCTGTGTTGGGGGGTGGGGGTGGGGGTGGGGATGGGTGCTGGGACCTGGGGGAGGGCAGTTTGCAGCATTAAATAGAGAAGCTGCCAAGACTTGAGTCCCACGTTTCTTATTCTCAGTTTGGCCCAGGTCCTGGTCTCTGTTTCCTCTCACCTCTTTCTTTGTATTAGTCAAATGCTGTCTCCTTCAAATCCATAACATTTCATCCTCCCTTGTTGCCCTGGAAACAGCTCCTTTTTTTACAGCCAGGAGGGTTTTATTGATCTCTCTGCCTTCTTTCAACCCCTTTTTAAAAACAAAAACAACAACACCCCTTTTTAAAAACAAAAAACAACATCCTAAAAACTCTTCCTAGAAAAACTCAAACATTTACAAATACACATATCTACTAACTTTCTCTTTAGTAATGAAACAATGCCTCCTTTTTTTCGGTTTGTGCAGTTTTCTCTATCTCTAATCAAATTCAAGACTACCTGTTTTTGTGTGTGTGGCATCTAGTATATTTGATTGAATGTGTTCTCTTAGTACATTTATATTCATGTTAAAATTAATTTGTGGCATCTGCCCCATCTCTGACTGACAGCTTCGTACAGAAACTTAATACAAAAACCCTGACTACACACAAGCCGGCCATATAACAGAAAGAATCCCACATTTCAGGAGCTGAGCTGCCCATCTTGAGTAATACTTCATATAGTAAAATTCTGGTGCAATTAACCCTAATTTAAGCCACAATATATAATAGCTTGGGCTTTGAGAAGTCCTGGCATAATTATTTTTCATATCTGAATGCTGATTATCAGAGATTACGGAAGCCTTAGATTCTTGGGGGATAATTAATTTAATTAAGAGAGGAAATTAACTCTATAGCCAAAGCTACTTCCCATTTTACAAAGGAAATAGAAAAATTCCTCTAAAATATGACCTGTTGATAAAAATGGATGTGCACACATCCCCCTCTCCATCATTGGTGTGATGGAGCACACCTGCATCCAGAAGCGCTGGGCCCTGTCGTGGAGATGTGCCTGACCCCACATGAGGCACCCATGCCCCACCTCTGTTCAGGACAGCAGGGCTCCCTGTGGGCCGCCACACACAAGGAGGATTACCCTTCTGAGTCCCTTCCTTTCTAGGTCCTGATTCCCAAGCTAGAAAGTTCCTGCTCCTCTTTGCTATCCCATAGCTCCACCCACCCTGGCCTTTTGTCCTCATTTGAGTAATTCACCATTTTCTCTCTTTTTTCCCCTTTTCCAGCCCCTATTATTTTCTAGGTTCAGGAAGAGGAAAGCAGGCTCTCCAGGCTACCATCCTAGTCTTTGTCTCCCTGAGTTCAGCTGGTTCTTTGAAGCTTGGTTTTTGCTTAGGAGTGGGACAGGAGAGGGGACCCTGGGGCCGGTGAAGGAACTACACACAAAAAACATAGTACTTCGTAATTTTATAAATTTGATTAGTTTAGAGCTGAAAAGCAAATCAGCCGTTAGTGCAGTTCTGTCACTTATTAGTGGGGAACCTGAGGCCCAGAGATGTTAAAGGGTTTGCTCGAAGTCACCTAGTCAGTGCAGAGGCAATGCCAATGTCCACGTCCCCATGCTTTCAGGCCAGTGTTGTTTTCGGAAGAGTGTGTTTCCCCTCATGTAAGAACTCAATTACTACATTAAAAGTTTCTAATCAACCATAGATAATTTTTACTGGCTTTAAAAATATTAATGAGCATGGTACAGTCTTGTTACCTATACTGGAAGAACTTGAATACTCCAAATTAAACCCCATGTTGAGAAACAAAGAATTCAGAAAGGAATATTTCTTGGTCATTCTAGATAGTCGATTATTTGTCATCAAACTGAAGAAGGGGCTTAGCGGAGGTGCCCCCTCTAGGTCAATGTGTGATAAAGCAATAAATCATTAGCCAATCAAAGCGTGTCACTCCTGGCTGAGAAACTGCTACCGGAACTCAATTTTTCTGAGTGGACTGGCAAGAAATTTCGCCAAGGATGCTTATGCTCAGCATACAGTGGAAGCTGTTTCATTTTCTACAGCCTCTTCTTATTCATGATTTCTCCCTGGGCTTGGCTTCCAGAAGCCTCTTTTAATTGACTTAAATCTTCACGTGTCACATCCTGTCTGAACCTCAGAGTTTCTGAAAGAAACTGAAAACAGGATTCAAAAAGCCACGCTTCCGACAGTCCTATATCTTTGCAACTTGTGTTCCCTTCGCTCTGGAGAAAGGACACTGAGGGTGCGTGTGCTTGTATGCACCACTAGAGGGCACTTTGACACTTGCTTTCGAGTCTAGTTTTTCAGAATCTCCAACTCGCAGTTCCGTGTGTCCGTTGTGTCTACACGTTACTGATATTTCATAGTAGCTCTAGTGAAATGCTCTGCCTATACAGTGATACTCTGTGATGCTTAAATATTGCTGGTGTCCCTCACTTCATTCTTCTCCAAAAGTTTTTTTAGCTATTCTAATTCCTTTGACTTTTCATATAAATTTTAGAATAATCTTGCCTATATCTATACAAATTCTTGCTTGTATTTTGATAGGAATTGTGTTAACTCTGTATATATATTTGGGGACAAGTGACATTGCTACTCTATTGAGTCTTCAAATCCATGAATATGGTGTGTCTCTCCATTAGTTACATATTTCTTGATCTTTTTTTAACCAACCTTTTGTAGTTTTCAGCATACAAATCCTATACATGTGCTGTTAGAGTCACATCTAAGTATTTTGGGGTTTTGGGTGGTTATAAGCAGTATTGTACTTTTAAGTTCGCATTTTCAGTTGAGCATTATGTTGAATAAAATTAGTAAGAGCAGAGAGCTTCCCTCATTCCCAATCTTAGGGAGAAATCAGTCTTCCCACATTAGGTACAGTGTTATCTGTAGCTTTTTGTACTGTCTGTGCTTTTGTAATAAGGGTAATAATTTTTTTCATAAAAAGAATTGGGAAATGATCTTTCCTCTTCTGTTTTCTGGAAGAGATTGTGTAGAATTGGTCCTTTGGTCCTGAGGTCCTTTGCCAGTCTGCCTTCCTTTCTCCACTGTTCAGAGTTTTCATATGTTTGTCTTATATCTAATGTGCAGGGGTTTCAGTTGTATTCAGCAGAAGAGAGAGTGAAAAGTACTTCTCCATCTTCCCAGAGGAGGAATTCAATTTTCCCATATTTTAAATGAGCAAGTTGGTCTGTAGTGTCCTCTCAAGATCTTTTAAGCTCAAAAAATTACGTTATCCCATGACATTTAATTCTTGTTTGCCTTTTTATGGTCACTGCAGGATTACTGGGGGATTGTAACCACTATGCCATTAACATGTTTTCTAGTTGCAACTTCATGACTTTCCTACTCACCCCCACATGCTTCCTGCTCATCTAGGAGAAACAAAGGGATGTTCTCCAGCTGGTATTGCTGTTCGCTTCAATAAAAAGACCAGCTGTTGTACCTTTTACGAGGTGGTGATTGCTTTGGTAGGAACCCCACTTCAGAACGTGGAAGGTCCAGGAACTGCCAAATGAAGTAGGGAGTAAAAGAGTTGAGAACCTCTGGTAGAGGGCAAAATATCCTTTACCCAGAAGCACAGGCTTTTCTCACTAACGACATTTCTCATGACATTAAAATGCAAATTCAAACACTGCTGGTAAAAACCGACATCAGCACATGCTTTCAGAATTCTTCATCGTTCCATTTTCAAGCTCATGTTCCACACAAGATGGTTTAGTCTTTGAAACTGGCTCCATTGGCATGCACAGCAGTGTTACAACTTGTTCAAATGTTAATGCAAGCAATTGCTATTAATTTCCTGTTTACTCTAATACAAAAATGGAAAACTTTATTCATTCAGCCAGCATTTATTCTCCTCCCGGACAGATCTCCCTCCTGGCCCTCCCATCCCCTCCCTCCTCCTTCTCTTCATCCAGACTCATTCCTACAGAAACACCCTCCATTCCATTCATTTCTCCCATGTTTTCCACTCTCTTCATTCAATTATTTACCAACTGGGTTTTTTTTTAATATTAAAACAAATATCATAAAACTTTATACTGATTATCTAACATCAACAGTTAATCTAGGCAGAATAATAATAATTTTGTACTTCAATCTGTTTCTTAGTTGCATTTTTTATAGGGACGATTGTTTTCAATATAGAAGTCAAATTTTAAAAGTTGAGATATAATTCATATACTATAAGATGCATCATCATAAAGTGTACAATTCAAAGGCTTTTAGAATATTCACAGGCTGTGTGAGGTCCCTGAAGGTACTGAGGAAGCTGATGAATGAAGAGCTTGCAGGGGGTAGTTTGGGGTAGTGGGCAGCCATAAGATGTCCTAAAGGATAGAGAAATAAAGGAGAATGTGTAGAGGTGAGAAGTCAAGTCTTGGGAGGGTGTGATGACCTCCATACCAAGATGGAAATGCAGAAGGGCAGAAGGTCCCCACAGCTGGAAGAAGAGAGTCAGTCAAAGAGTCCTTAGCCTGATAAAGGTTAAATCCAATTGGGGAGCAAAGTGTGTTCCTACACAAAGCAACTCCACGTAACTGCTGGTGAATCTCAGGATTAGGGACAGAGCCCGTCACTCCTCAGCTGGTCAAGTTTGCCTGAGGTCTACTCACTGTTGGCACAGTCATGGCGTCTTCTCTGAGCCACTGGTCTTACTATCTTTCCATCCTAAACACCATCCCTAGAACCCTCCCATCTTTCACTGCTCACCTCATGTCCTGGAGGAAATACCCCGAGCCATCCTGTCTGTACTGAGTCCTCTCTTCTCGCTGCATTTTTAAGGAAATCCAGTGATACAGGAGTCACCGTATGTTTGCCAGCAGTCTGATCACCGACTGCCAGGTGATCTTGCAGCCTAATTACTAACCCAGTCTCGCCTGTGAGTGTCAGCAGCTTGCATTATCACTGTTTCTTTCCAAGTGCCCATTTAAAGATCTTCGCCAGGTATGTTAGTCTGCGAGGGCTACTGAAACCAAACACCATAGACGGACGGGCTTAAACAACAGATAACTGTTTTCTCACAATTCTGAAGGCTGAATGTCCCAGAACAAGGTGCTGCCATGGTTGGTTTTCGGTGAGGTCTCTCTTCCTGTCTTTCAGATGGCCGCCTTCTTTCCGTGTCTTCACATGGCCTTTCCTCTGTGCAGGCGTGAAGGGGGAGAAAGAGGTGGAGAGAGAGAGTGCGCTGTCTGTGACATCTCTTCCTCTTCTTATCAGTCTTTTCAGGTTAGGACCCCATCCTTAAGACCTCATGTAAACCTAACTGCCTCCCTAAAAGCCCCATCTCCAAATACTATCACAATGGGGCTTCGGGCTTCAACATGCATTTGGGGGGACACAACTCAGTCTGCAACACCACGAAAAGACTGGGGATCCTTGCCATAGGGAAAAAAAAAGATCTGAAAATAATACTTGACTTCCTCTATATTTCCATGGACTTACCAAAGGTAGAAAGTCTCAGTGGAATCACCATGTGCGCGCGCACACACACACACGGAATATAGAATAGGTCATCTTCAAACATTTTTCACACATACCACAGTAATTTTGACACACTATCCAATTCCTTGCATTCTTATGACTGTCATCCAGAAGGCTTTATCATAAGTTTTATGTTGTTGCAAAAGATTAACTGCCTGGTATGATGTACTGTGAGTATTAAAATTTTATAATAAGACTGTGAACATTACTCATTTAATCATCACCATTTAAAACCGACAAGTTCTTTTTTTAATGAGAATAAATTTTAAATTGCTCCCTTTTCTCCTTGAAATTGCAACTCAATTCCACTTCTCCATAGAATTATATCCTCTTGTAATAATACATTTTACACTCCAGAGTCTTCTACTGATCACCCTATTATATTTTTCTTCAGTAGAAAAATGAAATTAGTTCTTTTAAAAGTTCCTGTGACTAAGCGTTAAACTGTTAAACATTAATCTGGATTGAGTTTATTATGAATTTATTATTCTTACACAATTGATCAAAGCAACGCATCTATTTTGTATACTTTGAAAAGGATAACAACGCGTAACAGTAAAAACTGCATGGGAGATTCATCTATTAAGGAGATGCATGTTTCCTCCATTTAGTTCATATACCTATGAATGAAAATTACTTTTAGAGCACTGAGATATAGTTAAACATTAATTCTATTTCCATTCTTACTTTTATAACTAAGTATAAACACTGAAAAACTAGCTTGTATAAATAGCTGGATGAGAACTGATGTACTTTTGTTACAGCAAATAACTCAGTTCCTTGAACTCAGGATTGTATGCTAGGAATCACGTGATGATCTTCTTCCTCTCCCTCCCCCTCCTTTCTCTGTCTCTCTATCTCTCTGTCCCTCTCTCTCCCTCCTGCCAGGTTCCCTCCAGAGCTCGGGACATGGATTATTTTGTGCAGTCTCCTAGCAACTCTATGCAGTATGGCCTTTTATTATTCCCATTTTACAAACAAAGAAATTGAGGCACCGAGGAGACTGAATCACAAAGGCACAAATTTAATAGATGGCAAAGCGTGACTTCAAAGCCAGACAGCCTGACCCCAGAGCCTGCACTCCTGGCCACGACCTGGCACAGCAGGGGGCACAAGATAGTCCAATTCTGTCCCAGGGCTTGGAGCACATATTTGTCAGCTGGTTCTTTAATGAGAACGAAACCCCAGAAATAGGAAAGTTCCAAAAACGTTGTTTAAAAGTTCACTCAACTCATCATGGTCTCCTGGAGACTTGCTACCCAGTTGCCAGGTCGCTGATCTTTAGAGAGCTAGCTGGAGAAATTGCCATGATGTAAGAAAGCCCTTTTCTCAGTATTTCCAGGGATTGTCAGGCAATGTTTCTCATCCTTTCCATTCCAGCAAAGTCCAGACTGGCTCTGACTCTCCATCCTGGACAGCCTCCCATGTCCTATGTCCAGGGCTTCCAATGCCCAAAGAGTTGGTCTAACTCAGCCTCATTGCCTCCTGCTGAGGTCTGAAGGCTTCGATTTCTGTGCCAGGCACCACTGAAATGCTGTTTGCTTAAGTCAACCCTGTGTTGGGATCTCGAGGTCCTGGGTGGGGGTCAGCAGCGTATTTCTCTGTTTATTTTCGTTAGATTCTAGCAGTTGCGACCCAGCGGTGTTGATGTACTGGGGCTGCTGTTGCCTGCTGAGCAAGGAAGCAGGGATTGGAGCTGTTGGCAGAGGTCCTGTGGGCATGTGGAAGGGAGGGAGGGAGGGGGTGCAGGGTGGTGGGAGTCCTGTTTGGAAGTAAAAGGAGCCAATGAAAAAGCTTGGTTCTTGACTTGATTGGGTAACTGGCGGCCCAGGCCTGGAGTCTGGCTAGCAACCGTCCTGTACATCTGGCTGCACTTCGGCCCGTCTCTGTGGCAGCCGGTTTTGGGCCTCATGGCTATTACCCGGAGTCAGGAGCAATGTCTTTTATTCTGAGATGTCTAAACCCCCAACCACAGGCATGTTTTCCTCCAGGGCAGAGGGCAAATGCAATTACATCTGTGACCAATTTACACAGCTGGGAGCTCAGCCTCCTGACAGAAACATTTATTTGAGATGCAAGTCTCCAGGGAGCTGGGGAACCAGACAGGAAGTGAGGTCCAGCAAGTCTTTGTTGCCTGTGCTTGCTAGCCTGAGCCTTGAAAACAAAGCACAACAAGAGAAAACGTCAACTTCGGCTTTTTTTTTTTGACTTGAGATCATTTTCTTTACAAGCCAGGAGGGTTTTCAAGGCGTAGAGGAGAATAAGAATATCCAAATAAGACAAGGCTGACGCTGATCTTGTACAGATACAACATGCATATCGCACACGGAAGTAGTGGCCGGGGCAACTGCTTGGAGGCCCAAACCCCCGATTTCTAGTTCTGACGGCGTCTGACTGCAGCATCCCGGACAAGTCACCTCACTCAGGAACCTCATTACACAAGAGAAGGGCAGCCTCCAGGCCCATGAGCTTTTGAAGGATCTACAAAATTGTTTGGGGCTGGAAAATATTGACATCACCCCCTAACAAATTTAAAAAAGAAAATGGCCAGACTGAAAGACATGGGTCTGTAAGATGTTGTTATTGTGTCCAGTTCATTCATTTTTAAATCCCTATTTTTAAAATCCGTAATTTAAAAAAGAGTTTATCAGGTTAGATTTTCTCACTTTACAGTAATTCTGAGTTGGCTGTACTGAGAAGTCACTGTTAATTGTAAATGATGTGTTATTCATAGACAGATGATTTTTTTGAAGCAAAATGATGAACATCTTGTCAATTTCTTGAGTTAAGAATTAAATATTTAAAGTAAGTGCATTTTAATATGTTTGGTACACACTCAGTGAGGTCCTTTTCAGCATTGAAAATTCCATCACCCTACGTTGGCAGAGGACTCCCAGTCGGATACAATCTCAACAAGGTTGAGCTAATCTTTTGGAGGAAAGCTATGCCAGAAAAGATGGTTAGTATTACAAATGCTGCAGAGCTTCCTGCTAGGAACAGAAGTGAGCAGGCGGGTGTGTATACCTGTGGCCAGCTTTC